AGAAGGGAGCTATTTAATATAGGATTAGGATAAATAAAGACCCGAGCAACGCCAGGTTATCAGCTAGTCAGTTATAAAAACATTGAAGGGCGAAGAGGCTGAATGGCCCACCGAGTAGAACCTTAGTAGCTGATTTGATGGGAAGGTCCCTGGTTTGCAGATCAAACTGCCAGAGGAGGAAGGGACTGTAGAACAACAACGCCGGGGAGAAATTCAGAGCGGGGCTTCTCCATCTTAGCCTCTGGACCACCTATGGATTTCAACTCCCAGAATTCCCCAGCCGGCCGTGTCGAAGCCCACACATCCTTCCGAGCTGCCAAGGTTGAGAAAACCTCGCTCGAGAGTCCTTTGTTGGTTTTGGAAACCGGGAATGATGGTCTGGAGGACGCAGAGGAATTCTGGTTTGTTTATCCAGGGCCAGGCGCTGGGTTTCCATCATCGTAAAAGCAGGAAATTCGAACTTCCAGTTGAGAGGCTGTTGTGGTTAGGGATTGCCAGAAAGGGTTTAGTCCGATGAAGAGGGATCACGTTTCCTCTTTTGGATTTGGGGTTTGATAGCCTTGGACCTTATTTATTATTTATTTATTTTATTAAGTTTGTCAAATGTATTAGATAACAGGTATAAGTATAGACATGGACATGAATACAGGAAATGGGTATGAATAAATGGGGACAGTAGGACAGGGACGGACGGCACGCTGTGCACCCTCCCCCCTTTAAAGACCTCTTACGAATGGGGTGAGGTCCACGCTAGACAGTCTTAGGTTAAGTTGTGGGGGTTTGAGGGCGTAACAACGGAGTCAGGTAGAGCATTTCAGGCAATGACCATTCTGTGGCTGAAGTGGTATTTTCTGCAATCGAGTTTGGAGTGGTTAACCTTGAGTTTGTATCTTTCATTTGTGTGTTATTGAAGTTGAAGCTGAAGTAGTTGTTGACAGGTAGGATGTTGTAGCAGACAGTTTTGTATACTACGCTTAGGGCAGACCAAGGTAGCATAGTTCCATGTTGTCCATGCCCAAAATTTTGAGCCCGAGGAATGGAGGACTCTTCTCGTGAAATACCTCTGGACTCGCTCATTAATGTGCGATATACAGTGTGGATTCCAGGCAGATGAGCTGTATTCAAGAATTGGTCTGGCAAAGGTGTTATATGCCATAGTTATCAGTACAATGTTACCGGAGAAGAAACAAAATGAGGGTAACAACTGTTAATGCCTTTTTGGCAATGCTCTTACATTGAGCTCTGGGTCCTCCTAGGCCCTTAAGAGAGTGAGGGCCGTCTACGACGTCTTAACTCCCTTCAACAGGTTTCTTGGCTTGCAGTCCGTACGGATCTCCTGAAGGAACTAAACGCAGGTGATTTTCCACTCATGAGGCCTGCTGAGTAGCTCATTTGTGATTCCATGTGAAGCCTTTGGATTGTTGTCATCTCCCGTAGCATCCATCATCTCCTGATCGTTTGAAAGCCTCCACATCTCCTTCGCTTTCGTGCACCAGCACAACTTTCAACCTCTACTCTTTTTGCTGGTATCTGTCCTTTTGCCACACTTGGAATATACTGTGTCCAATCCTGGTCTCATTCCCATGATATAAACAAGAGGTTGAGACCCTAGAAAAAGAGTAGAGAAGGGAAACAAAGATGATTAAGGGGTCTGGAGCTAAACAGGATGAACGATTGAGGGAAACTAGGTGTGTTTAGTCTAAAGAAGAGAAGGACTAAGGATGACATGATAGCAGCCTCCCAATATTTGAGGAGCTGCCCCAAAGAAGAAGGGGGTCAACCTATTCTCCAGAGCATCTGAAGGCAGGAGAAGAAACAATGGACGGAAACCAATCCAGGAGAGAAGCAATAGCAATAGCAGTTAGACTTATATACCACTTCACAGGGCTTGTACAGCCCCCTCTAAGCGGTTTACAGAGTCAGCATATCGCCCCACAGTCTGGGTCCTCATTTCACCCACTCGGAAGGATGGAAGGCTGAGTTAACCTTGAGCCGGTGAGATTAGAACCGCTGAACTGCAGAACTAGCAGTCAGCTGGAAGTGGCCTGCAGTACTGCACCCTAACCACTGCGCCACCTCGGCAACCTAGAACTAAGGAGGAATTTCCTGACAATGAGAACAATTAATCAGTAGAACAGCTTCCCTCCAGAAGTTATGGATGCTCCATCACTGGAGGCCTTTAAGAAGAGATTGGACAACCGTTGGTCCAGAATGGTATAAGGTCCTCCTGCCTGAATAGAGGGCTGGACCTGAAGACCTCCAGGTTTCCTTCAAACTCTCTGTATTCCGCATCTCAACACAGTCAACAAAAGGGAATCTCTCAATCTGTCCAAAGTTCATTCTACTGCTGAAGAACACTCATTTTGACACTTATGAATCTGCCAAATTCTTGTAATTGAAGATCGTGTTTCCATTTCCTGAACTCCGAGAGGGTGGAGACCACACAGTA